TGCAGAGGCAGAAAAGGATCTTGGAGTCATTATTGATGCCAAAATGAACATGGGCTGACAGTGTGGGGACACGGTCAGGAAGGCCAACCGCACCTTGTCATGCATCCACAGATGCATCTCAAGCAGGTCCAAGGAGGTGATCCTCCCCCTCTATGCCGCACTGGTCAGGCCACAGTTGGAGTACTGTGTCCAGTTCTGGGCGCTGCACTTCAGGAGGAATGTGGACAGCATTGAGAGGGTCCAGAGGAGGGCCACTCGCATGATCAGGGGGCAGTAGGGGACCTGAACCTGTTCAGCCTCCACAAGAGAAGGCTGAGGGGGGTTTTAGTGGCCTGTTACAAACTAGTCAGGGGGGACCAGCAGGCACTGGGGGAGTCCCTGTTCCCCCGAGCACTCCCAGGAGTGACAAGAAATAACGGTCACAAGCTGGCAGAGGGTAGATTTAGACTAGATATCAGGAGGCGCTACTTCAGTCAGGGCGGCTAGGACCTGGAACCAACTTCCAAGAGAAGTGGTGCTGGCTCCTACCCTGGGGGTCTTTAAGAGGAGGCAGAGAGTCCATGTCGCAGCGACCAGGTAGTTCAATATCTACTACTATCACCAAGCACCAATGGGTATTTTCAGCCTTTGATTTTTTTTTTTTAAAGCAAGCCAGACTTACAGTAAGCCAGCAGCCTACAGATACCTTGATTTCATCGTAGGTCAAACTAATACTTACTCTGTGCAAGCAATTTTTATAACTTTTTTGGCAAATCAATCAACAACTGGACATGTGTTTTTGCATGTGGCCCTGTGTTTCAGGATTTCTGAGCATGCAGTACAATGAAAGCTGTCAAATACCCATTCCAGAACAGGATGGCTTTGGCCTGGAAAAAAATGCTGCTGTTCTGTCAGTCAGGAAAGCACGAAAGAAGCAGTTGCCTTCTTTTCACAGAGAGTGAAAAGGCAAATTCAACCACAAACCCTTCCTGAGAAATGTAAAACAAAATGTGCCATTCAGAGGCAAATTTACATACCTACCTCAAGAGCCTATTATATGTTTGTAACCATTATAATTATCCTTCTTTGTGGTTGCATGAGATCCTGGAAAATGGATCCCTCCTGCATTTCATTTTCTTTTGCTGTTTACAAGCTGCTGAGTAACTAAATAGGTGACATTATTATAAGAGAAATTATATTATAAGAGACAATTGGTGTTTTGCCACTGACTGCAGTGGGGGGAACTTCAGGTTCTATGTCAGCGTTACCAACACTTGTACAATGGTTATTTGAAAGTGCTAACCCTGCCTCTGGGAATAACTAAACAGATATTCCTGAAAAGGCATGATTGTCTCCTCCCTGCCTTCTCTGGAGCCCTAAACACATGGTCAGCATTATGTAAGCTAGTTCTGGTTAAATCCCAGTCACAAGAGGCCATCACTACCTCACATTACATGGATCTTGATTTTTTTCCTGTCACTACTGTGTGGTCTTCCTTAATGTCACAGAGCCTGATCCCCAGGGGTGGCCATGATGCCCCTGGTGGCTCCACAACTGTGCCAGCTCTGTCCTAAGGGTGTCCTTTTATCTCTCCAGCCATGTCTTGCTGGTAAAATGCTAAGTCAGGAGGCTGCCCATGGACCTGATCTACTGACCCTCACCAGAACTCACTGGTCCTTAGGCCATTCACCCCCAGTACTGTGCCACACAGGCCCTTGTCCCTGCTGCACCCCTCTGGCACCAGGCTCTCCAGCCCTGTGTCTCATACCCTTTGTCCATTGTGGGCTTTTCTAACTGCTCAAGCCTGCACCTGATTCTGGCAGGGCTCAAAATGACTGTGTGCCCTCTCTGGGAACTAATGAGGCCTCTGTACCTCCCGTTACAGCCTCATCTCAAACCTCTGGTACAAACAATAACACAAATGTAAGCCCCTGGGCTATAACATAGCACTAACAATAAAGGCAGCACTCTCCTCCTTCAAGTGGGCAAACTTCCACCCCTAGGAGGGGCAATCAGGACTACTAGTAGTAGAGATATCTTTTATTAGCTCAACAAGATTTCTACAAAAAAAATAATTTAGGATAGCATCCCCCCATGCCCTAGGGACCTTGTGAGCTCCTGGACTCTTACTGCACTCAGAGGTAGCAACACAGGCAGCAAAATGTCACGGATCAGCTCTCTTGTGCAGCTGCCAGAGAAAGCGAACCCTGCCAACCTCAGCCCTGAGTTTATATGCTCCCAGGTCAGCTGACTGCCTGCATTACCTCATTAGCCTGTTACTCAGGCAACCTGCAGCTGTACAGCTCTGCCTTTGCTAGGCCGCTTCTGCCCTTAAAGGAGCAGGCATGCCTTAGTGCCCTGTGACACTTAACTCAACTCTTCATCTTTGTATTTTAACAAGACAGAACTTTTATGTAAAGAAAAGTACCTCTAGCTTAACAGTGCCACCTGCCATCATGCTGAGGCACTGGTTCAGAACTGACTCAGAGGGAAGAAAGTCACCTAATGAATCACTGGTGCCATTTCTTGCAACACCTTGCCATTTTTCAGAGGCCTCCCTTTTCAGTACTGACAAGGTTCAGGGTCCTTTTAAGTATAGAAGATCTAGTGGGATAACCATATTGGCTACAGCTGACGTAATGCTATATGGGACCCAGGGAAGCTGACAGCAAAGCAATTAGTTGAAGAATTTCATGATACTTTGAACCTAAAGGGAGAAAAGAAATATTTGCACTGTACCCAAAGATATGTTCTCTGTAGCTGAAAGACAGCAAGTTCAGCGTGTTTAGATTAGATATGACTGATATTTATGCAGTCTGTTCTGGTTAGCCGCTCAGGGGCTTATGAACTGGTAATTACCCAATAAATCAGTTATTTTTAACATTTTTTAGTTAAGATTCCTGCTCTGGGTAGGAGAAAAGAATGTGCACTGTGATTTGGCACTGCAAATTGTTAGATGCAGAGATAATACAGACTAACTTTAAAGAGAAACATAAACATACTTTAATAATAGGATCATGTTAGATATTTGAAACGAGATATTTTCTCCTTAAAATAAGGACAATTCTATATGCTTAGAACAGTCTTTGGGAAGATACTTGTTTAATGCAAATGAAAGTCCTAAACTTTTAGGCAATAGGCAGGCCTGCTTTCTGTGTTTATAGAGCAATTTCTGGGAATTCCATTTGTAAAACTGCTCAAACTCTCCCTCCTCATGTGGGAAGGAGTCTCTGTCTCCCCCAAAGTAGTCATAATATACAGCTTAATTTATCCTGTCTGTGGTAATCAGACAGATTTAGGAGCTTAGGCATTCATATGGTAGCAATTTTTAAAAAGTGTGATTTTTCCAGTTTGCTTGCACTGGTTTGTATCTGTAATCAGACCATATGTTGCTGTGGACTTGCAGGGACACATTAGCATTGCATGAAAAGAAATAAACCCACTAACAGAGCAGGAATTGTTAGGAATGCAATCTCTGAAACATACATATTTAGCTATTAGTCAACTTGTAATAATGGGCTTAGTTCTGTTCCTACTGAAGTGAATAAGGTCTTTGCTGTTCAGTTCGCTGGGAGTTTTGTCACTGATGGGAGCATCAGAATCAAGCACTAAACGAAGAAGACAAGACAAACCAATTTTACCATTTTAGACTGCTTTATTAAATCTACAAAGAAAAATAAAACCGAGCTTTCATTTTTATACTAAGGCCCCTTTGCACAGCTGTGGCAATTTAAAAAGGTTTTAGTGTAAAGGAAAGTGTCAGGCCCAAAGAATGGATAAATATTTATCAAAGGCAACCACAAAGAGCCCAATCTGCAGTTCTCATGCACTAATGGGAGCTGTAATGAAACTATATATGTGTGAGGATGGATTATCTAAGTGTGAGGCTCTTGGTTTTTGTGACAGTGGGAGAGCAAAGTACAATTTTGACAATAGCAAAACATGTTCCTTACAGCCAAGGAATCAGCTATCAAGCTACAATTTACAGAAAGAATCCAAAGAATTAACTGGAAGTTATTACTGTTTCTAGCACACACAGGCTGTTCACCATAAATCATTTTTTTGAAGGAAAAACCAGGTTTAAATCAAGCTGCAAAGCCCCATACAGCATTGGATTTACAGCAATCTAAAAGGGTTATAGGTTCCTTTCTTAAACGGCTGAATTATAGCTGCTTCTGGGCATTGATATATTAAGCACACTAACCCCTTAATGCTGCAAAGAAATTAAGGAATGAGCAGCAGTGGAGAGATGGTGTTGGTTATAGCTTTTATATGCATTTCAAAGTCACTTCCAAAAAATAGGACCAGGTAGTAATTGAGTATTCCAGCAACAGACATTAGGAACAGGAATAGTATGATGCGTTTTCCAAATAAGTAACCAGGAGTGCTGAGGAGAAAAAGAGAGATATATGATGTACTACAATAAATCAACTCATTTGAGAAGCGCTCACCCTCTAGGGGTACATGCAGACATTCCTGGGACCCGATCTAGAGTAATGCGGCTTGCTCTAAGCCATGTGATTGTAGATTGGGTCTTGCTTGTGCAGATATTCACTGGGGCTGGAAGCAGTGCCAGGAATGTGATCCAAGTAAGTTGAGGTGAGGGAAGGGGCAGAAGGAATCTCTAGAGTTAGCAGGTCCATAGGCAGTTTGGTGGGTCGTGGGGGTTTGGCAGTATCAGGAATCAGGAGCTGCCAGGTCCACTTGGGGGGCTTGTCTGTCTAGGGGTGGAGGGGTTGGAAAAAATAGCCTGGTTAGGGTGTGGGTGTAGGAAAAGCCCTGGGGCTAGAGTGAGTGACTGGGCTTTCCTAGTCCTGGGGCTGTGCTCTGACTGTATACAGACATTCAGTAGACTGAGCTAACACATGTCCAGTCTAACTTAATGCACCTCCTTAGGTGAATTAAGTTATATCAGCCTGGCCATTTTTTGCCTGATCTAACTTCTCCAAACATCTGTACAGTTAGGTTGATATAAGTGTAAGGACTGCATGTACCCTAGAACTGTCAGCCAGACCAACTAAAAGACATCACAGGTATTTAGATTCATGGAGCCAAATTCCGCATTGACTTGCATCCCTACATCCTCACTAATTTCACTGGAAATATACAGAAACAAATCAGTTCAGAATTTGACTCATAGTGCTACTGCTTGCTTGAGGGCTCCATTTAAGAGACACATTTTTCTTATCAGCCATCAAAGAGTATAATCACTGATGACAGTCCTGTATTTAAAGCCCAAATGGGACATGATAAACTACACAGGTCAATTTTATTTTACACATGCACAGCTCTCATTAACCTTAGGAAGAGGTTTACAGACACCAATGGGAAAAAAAAATTCTTGACTGTGCAAATCAAAAGACATGTATATCTACATTTATATAGCTACTGTATTTGTATTCCTTTGAATATTTGTAAAATAAAATATTTATTATAAAAGTGAAGTGAAAAAAAGTAAAAAAAGAAGAATTGTTTATACGCTCTGCTGGGCTTGAATTGTTGTAAGTGTGTCTTTAGTTAAGTTTTATCTTTTCTTAAGTTGAAAGTCAAAACATTGGGCACAACTTAATATAAGAAGCCTTTTAATTTAATTTGAAGGACTGCAGTACATAGTGAGCCAGAGTCTTTCAAAATTTGTTCTATAAACACAGTTCACCAAGTCTACAAAACCCAAACTCCCCCCTTTCCCACAGTATAGTTTTATTAACAAAGACCAATATAGCAAGACAATATAAAAATCAGCTCCCTTCCTCTACTCTTACATCCAGCCATACTCAGATGCAGCATAATTCTCTTACTTGGGTGGGCAGTTGAACATCTACAGATCTATTATTCATTGTTTTTACTTTGATTATTCAAGATAATTCAAGGGAAAAGCACCTTCTTTCCTTAAAATAAATAAATAAATAAAATGGAACCCAATCTCTGTCAAAGCAAGTATGGAGAGTAAATGGGAGACTGATGGGAAAGTGGAACCTATACTTTATTTCTTCCCTTAGATATAAACTCCATGTCCTTAGACCCCTTGAATAAAAATAGAGCAATTGATCAAATCTTCAATAATCTACCCTGCCATTCTGGCTCCAGGATTGATGAGCATGACCTAAAGGTTGGCAGATCCAGGCTTTTTCCTCAAATTGGGAGGGAGGTGTTCCCTCATGAAAAATGTTCTCACTCAGCCTTTCAAATCAGGGCTGTGAGGTTGGGGTCTTTGGTGTCCCTGACAAATGCAAGTGATGCATTACTATATGTGGATAATAGTGGTACCTCAGGCAGGTTCCAGGCCATTTGGGTTTTAAAGGAAAACAGCCTACCTCAGTCACAACCTCAGACCCAAGAGACAGCCATGGCAAACCTTAGACCTCACAAGCACTCCTGGTACGAAGTATTGCTTAAGAAGCAGGAAATAAATTCTGCTCTATTTCAAGTCTTTCAGCAGTCTTAGTCTTATTTGGTGGGGCCTCTATCCCACCAGATACTAGGCGAGATATTCAAACCAGGTGGGCTTGCATGATGGGAAGGATTTGTGCTCTCTGCAATATTAATTCCAGTTATAGCTTAAGCCAAGGCTGTCCAACTGCTGGCCCATGGGTTGCATGTAGCCCACGTGGGGTTAATTTGCAACCCCCCCTAAGTTCCTACATATGAGGACTCCCAGGATTAGGGCAGTGCAGTGTGGGGGCCAGAGAGTGAGTCTGGAGCCATGCACAGTGTAGCAGTAGGGAAGTCCATGTGGCCCCGAGGTCTGTGGCTTGCCATGGTGTGGCCTTCATTGATGCAGCCTATGGGATGTGCAGCCCCTGGCTACTTGGAAGCTGGACAGCCCTGGCTTACATGTTATTTCTAACTGCTTCCAACCATACACAAAAACCCGTAACTCAAGTGTGGTGGTGCTTTTAACAGGATGTAGCTGGTAGGGCTGTGCAAAGCTTCAGTCCCCAACTGGATTCAGTGGAGATTCAGCCCAATTCAGTGGCTGAATCTCTGAATTGGAATCTAATCAGAGGACCCTTTAATCTCCCCAAATCGAATTGAAACCCTCCAAATCGATTCAGAGAGATTCGGAAAGATTTGGCAATTCGGACACAGACACAGCTTTAAATTTTTGGGTTTTTTACATACCTCTACGTAGCAGGGGGCTCATGAATGCCGCGATGCTGGGGCACATGGGGTGTCCCATAGGAGCGTGGGGGGCTCTCCAGCGCACTTGGCAGCAGACCTGGAAGTGGACTAGAAGCTCTTCCGGTCCACTTCCAAGTCTGCCGGGGAGCACGCTGGGGGCTACCCCCCACAGTCCTGTGGGACACTCCATGTGCCCCATCATCACAGCGTTCACAAGCCGTGCTGGTACCTCAAGGTATGTAGAAAAAATATTTAAAGCTGTGTCTGTGTCCAAATCGCTGATTCTCCAAATCAGCATCAAATCTTCGATTCGGATTTGGCCAAATCAAATCAGGGACAGTGATCCGAATCTGAATTGAATAGGTCCTGCTTCACACACCCCTAGTAGCTGGCCTACCAGGAGGTATAGACTTAAACTGCTGCTACAGTAACCAACTTATGAGCTGCTGGAGGCAGTGGAGATGCACTATTCTAGGGAAAAAAATATTCCCATAATATTCTCAGAAAAAATTCAGAATGACTCAGCTTATGGCAGTACTAGAAATACTGGTGTGCAGCCCCAGGAGTCTTAAACCATATACAAGTAAAAGTAGCACCAGTGTGGATCAGTAGCTTGACCATTCCTATTGAACCATGTCCATTCCCACTTGAACCATGCTAATGCGTGAGGTTGGAAGACAGGCTGGGACTTTGCCCTACCCTATATAAAGAGTTCCAGGAAATTCTTACCTCTGAGTCCTTTCTCCCAGATAGCCAACAAAATACTTTTGCCTCACAAACAAGTACATCAATCCAGCAAAGGCAGCAGGAGCTGAATAAAGCAATAAAATACACATATTAGGAGGTGGCTGCCCAAGCGTCCTGTGTAGACCTCACAGTACATAGAGTCCAGATTGGGGATACTGGGAAACTCTAATTTTGAAAAAAAGGATGAACTGTGGAACCAAAGAATCAAACTTGTAGAGAATTTACAACTTGGTTTCCTACCACCTTCACAGTGAACTCTGCGGGTTAAACTCTGCATCATGGCCCACTCAAGTGCATGCATTTACCCAGAGGAGAAACCAGCACTGGGATCACATGCAGGGCTGTATTCTGGTTTTAAATAAGCCAAATACTGCAGTGCACATGTCCAAAAGCAGCATCTGGCTTATGGTATGGTTTTACCAGAATCCCAAGCAGGAAGCTCAGCAGGAGCAGAGCAGGGACCATTCTGGGAATGCAAAATTCAGCCCAGCTTAAGATCTGATTAAGTAAGGCCCCTGAGCATGTTCCTGACATTAAGCCTATGAAAATACTGTCTGAATTCAGTGGAACTATTCTCCAATGCTCAGCGAGGCATATAATTAAACACCTTGCTGAGCTGGGACAGGTTGAAAGAAGGCCAGTCTAGAAGACAGCAATAGAGGTTTCCCTTCCAGCCCCTGCAGGCTGGCACCATTTCCCAACAGAAATATTAAAGGGTCCCCAAAACAACTTCCTCCTAGTCCAACTTCACCAGTGGATGAGATGAACTGGCTACCCCACTAGCTCTCTTCCAAAGTAGAGGGCTTTCTTCCTCCAGCCGATTGACTTTGCTTTCCAGTAAGAATGATTTTGGGGCTCCAGCCAGATTTCTCACCAATTCAGATCACCTTTAATTGTAACCCTGCCCATAATGTAACTCAGAAGAGGAATGAAGAGCATTAGTAACTGTCTGGAGTGTAGGGTAAGGGCAGGAGTACTGTTAAAAGAAAATATTCATCTGAACCTCAAACAGATACACACAGTTTAAAAAAAAAAAAAAAAAAAAAGTGTATGTTACCTTGGCTACAAAGCAGCCCAGCGCACCACAGCACAGCAAGAAATGTAGGATATGCATGTTCACAGTTTTGGCTAGGAAGGAATTTAAAAGAGGGCAGATTAAAAGCATACTGAGAACTGGAACAAATATCTTTATTCCTCAAAAGCACAATAGAGCTGTAGTAGATTTATCTGCCTATTACCTCTCTAAAATAATAGGTAGTATTGTTCTACCTCCTCAGAGAGTCAGCAATGCATAATGCACTCCCTCTACTATTGTGGTCCATCATGGCTTATATGATATAATTGATCCACTGTATTAACTTGGGCAGTACTTATGAACCTGGTCATATTAATCAAGCTGTTGACAGTGAAAACAGTATAATTCAAATAGAAAGATAAGAATCATAGCAAGGAGGAACCTCGCAAAATTCACATGCTGCTTTTTCAATAGTTTGGTAAAAGGAATTATTTACCACACTGTGTGCAAATGGAAACATTTCTGTAGAGAAAATATTTGGAGGCCCACAGAGGGCAGTATTTTTATTCATTGTAAACTGCAGAATACATTTCCAGTGCTTAAGAGTCATTATGTGACTTTTTCTTTCTTGGTAGGTAGGAAATTTTATCTCCTCCTTTCTCCTCAAGGATGTCCAAGACAAGAGCAAAGGGACATACTAGAGCAGCAGCATCACCAAGTGTCCTATTCAATTATCTGGAGATTCAGGAGACAATGGTTCTCAGATTAATTCGGCCATTACCCTTTTAGGCAGATCACTTCACATCTCTATAACCCTGCCTATTTAGATTCTAGTCTTTTCTTACTGTGTGTTTGTACAGTACCTATTACTTTAGGGTCCTGCTCCTGGCTGGAGCCTTTAGATACTGCTATAATTTCATTATCACCAACATCAACATCTTCATCAGTGGCTTGATCCAAAGTCCACTGTTAAATTTGTCTTGATATCAGTGAAGTTTGAATCAGGCCACAAGTGAAGGCAGAGATTAAACTCAGCTGTGAGCTTCACTTTCCACCTTGCATGGTCTTGGTCTGCATACTCACTTGGCAGTGAAAACTCGTTCAAAGGCTCCCGTCCGCTGGAGAGTCTTACCATTATAGCTCTTGCTTTCATGCTCCACTTTGCTAGCAAAAAAGGCTGTTAAGAGAGGCAAAAGTTCGTTTTGAGATTTAAGCTGGACACATGTCAAATTCATGATAATGAGCCAAATTCAACCCTTGTTGATGCCCACATACCCCACTCAGCACCAGAGGGGCATGTTGGTATAAGCAGCAGTAGAATGTGGGCTAGCAGGTTTCCTCAAAGTTTAAGGACCCATTTTAATTAAAAAATTTGCCCTGAAGTACCTACTGAAAATGTTACACACTCTACGAAAGGAATCAGACTGGCCTCACTTGCTGAGCCCACTGCCCACAGAACACAAGTATACTTTGCTGTTTTATCCCTACGTCACATCACACAGAGCCAGGCCCATGTTGAGGAAATGTGTACCACAACTGACTCTGCATTTCTAGTGTGTGATCTTCACAATTTCCTAGTCGCTTTTGTAAAGCTACCTCACCCCACAGTAAAGTCAAGACCTGAGAGAATATAACCACTTCTCATGATCCCTGTAGAGATAAGGTAGCTGCCTTTTATCTCTGTGATTTCAATATGGACTTCCCAGCTGAAACAGGCACAATATAATCCCTGTCCCCATTTCCAAGGCAAATTTAATACACGCTGAATTTTGATACAACAGTATACCTAGTGGTCCCCAGCACATAAAATGGTTGTGACTCAGAGTAAAGCTTAAAGCTTAGTAATATCACAGTGGTCAATGTGGTGGAAACTAGGGGTGTGCGAAGTGGACCCTATCTAATTCGGTTTCGGCCTGAATCAGGGACAGTGATTTGATTTATTGATTCGGATCACTGTCCCCGATTCAATTCGGCTGAATCCAAATCTGAAGATTTGATGCTGATTTGGAGACTCAACAATTCGGCCATAGACGCAGCTTTAAATGTTTTTTCTACATACCTCGAGGTACCAGCAGGGCTTGTGATCACTGCAATGCTGAGGCAGATGGAGACACTCCATCCACCCCAGCATCACAGCATTCACAAGCCACCTGGTACCTTGAGGTACATAGAAAAAACATTTAAAGCTGTATCTATGGCCATCTCTTTCCAAATCAAATTGGAGGGTTCCGATTCGATTTGGAGAGATTAGAGGCTCCTCTGATTCAATTTGGATTTGGAGATTCAGCCACCGAATTGGGCCGAATCTCCATCGCATCAAATCAGGGACCAAAGCTTCTCAAAGCCCTAGTGAAAGCGCGTGTCCACTCATCTCAGTACTCAACTTTGACTCAGGGAAACTTCCAAGTAATCAGAAAAGAGTCCTCTGGGTAAAAGGTGATAAAGAACTGAGAAGGAACAGGAAGCTTGTGGTCCGAATTATTCATAATCTGTGTTGCAGATCTAAGACAATGAGATATCACAGACTTCTGGGAAGCCTTGGCTTCCAGAGTCCATTCACAGAGGACAGTCTGAGAGGAGGGCTGTCTCAGGGGTCAGGACTTCGGGACTTTCAGGCTCCACAGCTGAGGCAGCCCACTAGGAGGACTGTCTCTGAATTGGGGACTCAGTTCTGGTTCTGGGACAGCCACAGTATAAACTGATGCTGAGTTAGGAATGTGAGGGCTTCTGAGGTCTGTGGCTCTGGGATCATCCATCTAGGAGAGAGCTCTGAAGGAATGAAAAGTTTGGATTTTTCACTCAGGACTGGAAAAAAAGCAAACATCAAAATAATGAAATTCCCCTTTCTGTACCCTGCTTTTGCTGTGTATATAAACAATTATAGAGAGAATCAACAGCAGTGGTAACCTACAACTAAAGTCTAACCGCATCACATTAGCCAGCATCAAGGATGCCTCAAAATCAGGCCTGAGCAAAGGCAGATGTATCAAAGTGACACAGACACAGGTAAGACATCCATGGTCATACTGCTTGTCTTCTCTGCAGCCTTTGACACAATGGACTATTAGCATACCAACATGATGCAGAAATAGATGTCCCAACGCTTCAATTGCCCGTCACCAGCAGAACTCAAATAGTGGTAATAGGTAACTGGTCTTTCTCGAAAAGTCCTCATATATAGGTTCACATGCGTGGATCTGTATCATATCCCCTCTTCTATCGAAAAATCTATATGAGATCACTAGTGGAGGTACGATAAGGTAGGTTTAGCATCCAATAGTATGCTGATAACAATCAACTATATACCTCAATCTCAAATTGAGGCAGCCACTGCCTCTTCTAAAATATCAGAAAGTCTATGGGAAATTAGCTTCTGGGTGAAGAACACACAGCTCCATCTGAACCCAGACAAGTCCCTAGAAAGTCAAAATGCTTTGAAGAGCCAACTAAAAATGCCATCTCCACTTTCCATCCAGACATTAACACCCCCTATTCATCAAAATGGCTAAATTGGATGAGCAGATAGCATCAGTTTATAAAAATGCCATCTTTCAGCTCTAGCCTGCTGTGAATCTTCCTCCCACAAGGAGCCACCACAAGGCCCCATAATTTGCCTCTACACTCATCAAAAGAGGCAAGACTATTTTCTAAAACAGCACCTGCTGCAGCAAAGCTTGTAAATGCACATTTGAGTTGCACTGGCTTCATGCATTTAAAGATAACTTAAGCACTTGCTTAAAAGGGCTTGACTGAAAGATAGCCACAGCAAGGATGTGGGGCATGCATAACTCAGCTTCATCTCATTTCCTTGATATTCACTTTTACTGCACTTTTTATGAACCAGGGGGGACCAGCGGGGAATGGGAGAGACCCTGTTCCCCCGAGCACCTCCCGGAGTAATAAGAAATAATGGTCATAAGTTGTTTGAGAGTAGGTTCAAGCTGGACATTAGAAGGCACTACTTCAGTCAGGGTGGCTAGGATCTGGAACCAGCTTTCAAGGGAAGTGGTGCTGGTCCCACCTTGGGGGTCTTTAAGAGGAGGCTTGATAATTACCTAGCTGGGGTCATAGGAGCCCAGTATTCTCTCCTGCCCAGGGCAGGGGGTCAGACTTGATGATCTACTTAGGTCCCTTTCAATCCTACATCTATGAACACATTCCTTACACAGCTGGTAGTCCAAATGCAAGGAAGGAGCATTCTGGATTAAAGACTTTGCAAGCGGTTGTTAAATGGGACTAGTTTGGAATCATCATGTAGACCCATAGCTTGCTCTTGACTGAGGGTTACACATAAGGATCAAGGAGAGTTTAGCAGGTGCCAGGAATTGTCTGCTTTGAAAGTCTGAACACATGCCCAGGAATCCAATTTTCCTTCGGATGACCTTGTAGGTAAATATGGAGCAGGGCTGATTCCAGGTCTGAAATGCAAATTCCACTCACTTTGCCCTTTAATGGCTATTACCTGCACATTTATACACATATAAGCTTTGTCTTCACTGCAAAAATAAACGAGCTGTCATTTTGCTGTGAGGTACACGACAAAAGCCAGCCCCTGTTGAGGGCATAGTGCTGTTTGCCTTGTTATCCAACAGTAGAAACTACAGTGCCCTAAGCAACACGTCAGGTCAAAGGCATGACTTTGAATTTTGGTGGCTAGGGTGGTGCAAGGGAGGCTCTTACCTCCTCCCACAGGCTATGGTGGCAGTGACAGGCTGCTGCTGCCTCAGTGCAAACTCCCCCAACATGACAGGTTTGATCACTCCCTTCCCCCTCCCCCCTAAAAAAATTATGCTACTTGGTTAGTTATTCTGTGGTAAGTGCACCCCTTCTGTGGCAGCAAGGACAAAATCCTGCCATGTGCCAGCTCTAAAACCCCAATACAAATTCTTTGTGCCACTCTATTCAGCAAAGGGGAACCTCACCTGGCATAGAGCTCTCTCCCTACCAGTTCTTTTCATTGCAGGAGTTATATCCCCAAAGCACTTTGCACCCAGACGGCTCCAGTTGGAGTAAAATGGTAGAATAGAGCAGAACAGAATAAAATAGTCTTCAGGAGTTCAGGTATGCACCAAGAGCCAGACTAGATCCACTATCAGGGGAGAGGAAGGATGGCTTTAAATCACTTTTGCCCATCTTCTCAATTTGGATCCACTGCCATGCACAGCTCTGCTGGCACTAAGGAGTTGGATCAATGAGCTTACATGCAGGGTTCAATACTATCTGGAACATATATAAGGGTGGTGCTGAACTGTATGAACTTCCTAGGTGGCCAAGTCAAGAATTGTATTAGGTCACCACAAACACCTCTGGGAAAATAACAGGAAACATATTTGGACGCGTCTCAAATTGCACTGTACATGCTGATTGCAATGAGCCCAGTTCTGCTGTTGGACATGCCAAATGTAGTCTATCTACCTGATGGCAGAATTTGGTTGAATGATACCATAGACATATTGTTTGGTGCAAGAAGAACAGTCTGTAGGACCGCAAACACCTACAAAGCTCTACAGATTCTTCATTCTGAATATTGTGGTTCTTCTTATGCTTTACCCTCTCTCAAAGCCAGGACAGCTTGAGAATGACCTACTCCAGCACATTAATCTGCTTCCTTAGAATTGCACATGACACCAGCTACAAAAACCATTCAACTCAGTGGAGGTCTTCCTACTAACAGCCGAAGGTTTTTGTTTAGGCCCATATTGAGGCATTCACCTTACAGGTTCTTATCTCACCTCCAGATCCCCTTGAACTTGGGAGTGTGTCAATGCAAAAGATGAAAATTAAACACAACTTGCCCCCTGTTTGTATTCTGGGTAGAATTTTAGTTTAACTTAAAAGAAATCTTAAAGGAAACTGAATTGGAGATAAGAAAGAGAAACCATAAAATAGAAAACTCTTCTCATGAAGGAAGCTTACAACAGGAAATAGTTAAGAGTAGTAAAACTGAAGGGCTGAAGAATGAGTTTCTGAAACTTAGGAAAACTGGTTAACTCTAAATAAACCAGGCTAGAGTCTCTGCTAGTATGAATTCAGTGAAGCAACACTCACTGATCCAGCTGAAGATCTGATCTGTTGTTTCGTACCGGTCACTCAGCTCCCTAAACCTTTCCCTCTGGAACAAGAAACAGCAGCAGCTACTAATATTAGGAACACAGCCCTGTAAGGTTGGAAAGGACC